TGGCCGGAAGAATGTAGTGCAGTCCACAAGCAGGTGTGAATACGCACACGCTGCAGCGAAGCTGTTACACGCAGCAAACGTCAGAAAAGACGAAAAGGTCCAAGTTGCAATTGGTCAATCCGTCTCTGGAATATTTGCGCGCGAGGTTAACTACCATAAACAATGCTACAGGAATTACACGAGAGATTCAACGCTGGCACGGTGTGCCGCAAAAAATGCATCTGCCTCTGCAGAGGCACCGTGTAATCCACTGGAAGTATTCTATGGAGATGTGCGCCAGAGCTTAATGACAAACAAACAGCATTTGTCCATTGAGGATATGAGGCAACTCTATAGAAAGCATACATCTGTTGATGCCAGACGGGACAAGGTTAAAAAGGTTATGATGGACTACTTTGGGGAAGAAATAACCTTCGTTAAACCGATACGCCTTAATGAATCCGAGCGTGTATATGCAACGATGCACTGTAAATACTTTCTTCGGCTGTTATCAACCTTCGACCATCCGTCACGAGCTGGTGATGATGATGATGATGATGACGACGACGATGATGATGATGACGATGATGATAGCGACGACGATGATAGCGACGACGACGACGATGACCAGGGTATGGATGAGGACGAGGCACTGGTAACTGCGGCTGCCGAAATTGATGAAAATGTGAAGACGGTTGCCATGCCCGATGTGCCACCAGACATGGAAACTGTTAGAACTAGTCGTCGAACATTGCCTGAACGAGTTGGCCGTGCCGTTGATGAACCTCCATCAGCCATATCAATGGATGAAATGACTATCCTTTATCATGCATCCATAATTCTGAAGCGAACAATGAGAGAGCATGCATCGGCAAGAGGCAAGCCAGCCTGGCCACCAGAACCAGTTGACATGACCTCGAAGGCCAGCAGTAAGTACTTCCCCGACTCGGTATACAACATGTTGCTGTGGACGATGAGTGATAGCCATAACGATGATGTGTCATGCGAAAGGGTAGATGTTTCATCCACTAGCCCTAAGTTGCACCGCCAGATTTGTTCGATTGGGCAGGATATAATGTACGGCTGTACTGCAGCTACACAGCCCCCAAAACACATTGCTCTTGCTGTTGCGGTGCATCATATGTTCCGTAGCTCAAAATTGGTCACAATGTTGAACCGGCTTGGTCATTGTGCTGCATACTCACAGGTGCTAGAGCTGGAGACTGCTTTGGCTGAGTGCCAAGCCAACAACCAGCAAGCAGCTGCAGCATCTCTCCCGAAGGGAGTCGATGTTGACAGTGCCTACTACTTTGTGTGGGACAATAATGATCTATGCGAAGAGACGTTGTCGGGAGAAGGGACGACCCACTGCACAAATGGCATAGTTGTTCAGCCATCTCAACGCACACGTGACCACAACCCAGCAGTGTCTTCTGCAGCTGAATCAACCTTCATACCACCAAGGCGGAAGCGCTCAACTGTTGTACCCAGCACTGTCTTCCCGGTGTTTATCCCACAGGCAAGATCTGATCCACCTGCTTTCCCTACTACTGCTGATGTGGACAGGATTGAACACAATGTTCACCATCAATCCAAGCTGCTTGACTTCACCTGGATGATGATACGTTGGTGTTACGAAGGAGACTTGTCAAGAAGTATGACCTCTGCAGGTGAAGCGGATGCGAGTAACACCAAGCAGCTTGTACCGTCTTGGACCGCCTTCAACCAGCTTATCAGCAAGGACTCTGTGCCTGATAAAGCTTTTATCAGCTACTGTCCTGTGATTGATGCGTCTCCCACTGATATGTCAACAGTGTATGAAGTTCTGAAGAGATCTGTTGACATGGCACGAGTTGGTGGGCTGCCATTTACCCTGATCGTCCTCGATCAAGCCATTTATGCGAAAGCAATGGACATCATACTGCAACGACCAGCTGAGTTTGAATCTGTTGTCCTGAGAATGGGTGGCTTTCATGCCGCGTGTACACTACTTGCCATCATCGGAAAGCGCTTTGGTAGTGCTGGCTTGACTGATGCTCTTATTGAATCACAGGTCGCTGGATCGACAGTGGCTGCATCCGTTATGACCGGCCGGCAATACAATCGTGCTGTACGGTTCCACAATATTGTTGCCGAGGCTTTGGAGCGTCTGAGGTGGAGCGCTTTCCTTAGCCATGAGTCCAATGATATTCCATCCGATGAATTCACACGTCTTGGTGAGATGGTGATGGAACTAAAGATGTGCATCAACAAGGACAACATGGAACGTGTGCTGAAAGATGATTCAGTCCGCTCAATGTTCTCCAAGTATAATGCCTTTTGCCAGGCACAGTCACAATCCAGCAATATGTTCAACTTTTGGTCATCCTATGTGGATCTCGTCTGCCTTCTTCTGCGGTTAATACGTTCCAGCCGTGCTGCTGACTGGACCCTTCACCTGTCCTGCCTGCAAGACATGCTACCCTGGTGCTTCAGTTATGATCGCCACAACTATGCTCGCTATATGACGCTGTACTGGTTCCAGATGACTCACTTAAGGGACACTCACCCATTGGCAGCAGAGTTTTTGGAGCAAGGTGGATTTGCTGTCCAGCGCTCACATAATCCGTTTGCGCAAGTGGCCTCTGATATGGCTATTGAACAGAGCATGAACCGCTCCACGAAAACTGAAGGAGGCATCATCGGCTGCAGCCGCAACGCATCGGCTGTACAGCGCTGGGTTGTAACATCTTCCGACAGAGGACTGATGACTGACATGTGCTTGGAGCAGTGCGGACTAGACGATGCAAGTCAACAAGCAGAGTCGATGCACAAGGAATGTCATTCAACTCGGCTCCAACGGGATGAAGATGATGTACAGAGAGTTCAATCCACCATCACTAGCTGGCTCAACCCGTTCGACTTCGATGAGAATGACCTTGTCAACCTCTCATCTGGCGTGGCATGTTCAGATGATACAGCAGCTGACCTCCTTCTAGCCAAGCAGCGTGGTCTCGACGCACTGGTTCAGTTCGTCAATGAGCGTCTTGTGAACCAAACGAAACGGTTTCATGACCCATTGCCTAAGTTGAAACTCCATACGTTCTCACCAGCCAAGAAATCTGCTGGCAGCTCTCGCCTAGCGCAGACTATCTCTATGCTGCGTGCTGACCGAAACCTGTTCTCACGGATGGCAGTAATCGCACAGGCAAGGCAGCTTGATATGAGAGAGGTATTGAGCTACCCTCTTGGTCCGGTACCATGGTCTCTCAGCACCCAAGATGGAACTCCTGTCAAAACCGCAAAGTCCTCACTACTTAAGTACATCGGTGAGCAGCTAACCAACCATACAGGCACACCAATGCCTCAGTCTGCTTTGCTAGTCGATGCGATGGCCTTCTTACGAAGTTTGAAGCAGACGAGCATCCCATCCACCTTCTATGAGCTGGCTGAGTTTATATTCAAGTCCCTTGCGGCAAACCTGTCAACTCACCAACGTGTCGACTTTGTAGCAGACACATATCCGGAAAATTCGATCAAGAACATTGAGCGTGGGAGAAGAGCAAGTAACCTTGGTGAGATGCGATTGCGGATTTCCAGCGGGAACCAGAAAACACCTCACCAGTGGTCGAAGTTTCTTTCAGTTGGAACAAATAAGGTGGCTTTGATGGAATTTCTTTGCAAGGAATGGTGCTCCGGCAAGTTTACCAGTGCCACCAATGGACATCTGTTCGTCACCAGTGGGGAGGAATGCAAGCATCTCATCTTGCAGAATGGCTCTACTTCTGCCACCGGTTGCCCAGCACTCTGTTCTCTGCAGGAAGAGGCTGATACAAGACTCTTGCTGCATGCTGACCATGCCGCCAAGCATGGCATATCCGCTATCATAATCAAGTCGCCAGACACTGATGTCGCCGTGCTGGCATGTCACTTCAGCTTCCTCATAAATGCTCCCCTCATGTTCCTGACCGGCACTGGCCGAAATGCCCGCCTCTTGGACATCACCGCTATGGCCCAACAGCTTAGTGCCCCCGTTTGCGAAGCCATGGTGGGGATGCATGCCTATACAGGTTGTGACACAACCAGTGCCTTCAGTGGCAGAGGGAAGAAGCTAGCATTTCAGCTGATCACCAAGCAAACCCCACAAGGCGAGCTGGCTCGAAAGGCTATGGCAGCACTCGGTGCATCATTTAACGCACTACCAGCTGACATTTTCGCCTGCATCGAGCAGTTCACTTGCGGTCTATACGGCTTCAACACCACCACATCTATCAACGAAGTGCGATACCAGATGTTCTGCTCTCGCTCGACGCAATCCAGCTCCCTTCCTCCTTGCCAAGATGCGCTGCGCAAGCATGCTGCAAGAGCAAATTACCAGGCCAGTATCTGGCGCCGTGCTCTGGAAGCTTCCGCGGATGTCCCACCACCGCATAGCCCTGGTCAAGGGTGGACCATCGATTCTGGCGGTGGTTTGGAAGTGGACTGGCTCAGCTTGGCACCAGCACCATCGAGCCTGATGGAATTTGTTTCATGCGGTTGCACGACAGGCTGCAAGCACGGGCATTGCTCCTGCCGGAGACAGCACCTCAATTGCACGGATGCTTGCAAGTGCTCTCACTCGGGCCAGGAGTGTGAGAATGGGCAACCACTGGAGCTTCAAGTAACTGCAGAACTCAGTGAAGACGAGGATGAATAAGAAAAAGAATGCCCATCCTGACAGGTATGTATTATGATTGAAGATTGAGTGTTCATTAGAGTTCAGTGATGCACATTGTACGATCATGAACATGTACGTGACTGTACATCATGCCCAATTCAAGTCCTTCTGATGTTTGCTCAGTG